AAGTAGATGGGGATAACTAGGGTTAGCTGGGGGTAGTTGGGGGTAGCTGTGAAAGTAGGTCGCCACGCGCAGATTTTCACTTGCTCTTAACTGATTTGTAATGCAAATGAAGCAAACTAGCGCAGGAGGCGGTAGCTAGATGAAGCAGGGCAGAGGGAATAAGTGCTAGAAGAAGAAGAAGCGCACATTAAAAACAACGAACGGAAACATAAGAGCAAGCCAACTGTGCATAAAAAGTGCGTGTAAAAGAGAAGGCAACAAAGGACATGAGACAGGTAGAGAGATTGTTATTGTTGTTGTTATTTTTGTGCACTTGACAAAAGGCAACTGCAGCCGGTAGTTTCATGGGAAAACAACAACGAAAATGTTATTGAAGGGAAGAGTCGAATTCGAGATCCTCGAACGACAGGTGGCACTCAAGAGGAACGAACTGTAATAATAAGCAAACGCAACGGGAGGTCGGGACTCGCATTGAAGGGCCGAAGAGTACTTCAGCTAGGAGCTGATGGCAATCGTATAGCCAGCGGATGTGCGTGGCCTGTGTCCAAATGGATAATGAACTATAAAGCAGCCAAGAATTATTAGTTGCGCAAAATTATGAAAGAAGGAAACACGAAGTGAGGCGATGAGCCGAGGAGCAGCAGCAGAGACAAACTTCCGGACGGGCACTCATTAGAGCCATGAGAGATGAAAGATGTAATAGAGGAATTGAATAGAATAATAATGAAAGACAATATGAAATCTGCGATGAACGAGAAAACTAACGAAACTATTCCAAAGTAAACAGGGATAGAGAGTGGACCTTTAGATAGATGGATGGCTGGTTGGATAGATGGATGGATAGATATAGCTAGTTCATATAATAGAACTGGAGATTCTTTAGACTGCATTAGGAATTGCAGCCTATATATAAAGTTAATATTGTGGATATCATATATAGAAAATTTATGAGAACATTTTAGATTGTTGTTTATTCTTCGAAGGCTATCAAGTTCTGCAAGTATATACTCATTTTAATATAGCCTCTATCTATACAATGTACAATGTCATATGAGAACATTTAGATTATTTTTAGTAACTACCTAGCAAAAATATAAATGTAAATTTCACAATTAAATTTAAATTATTTATTCAACTTGCAGTTCATATCTCCAAATACATGCATTAACTTTAATCTGCGCTCTCGACATTCGCCCTAGGCCGACCACTAAGCCCCCGGGGGAAAAACTCAATTTATGTGCAACATAGTTCGATAACATTTCAATATAAATCTCCGCATTGGACAAGCGATTAGAGACCATCCGGAAATGTAAGTTGCAACTCGCAAACTGACCCAAATGAACTGGGGCACAGCGTTGCAACGGTGCTGCGTGTTGCCAGCCCATGCATCATTAGAAATGTAACATGTGCTGCAGCTGGACCCCCTTGGCCCCCTTGTCTGCGACAAGTGTAGAGCCAAAGGATTACGCGAACTGCAAAACGAGGAGAAACACACACACACAGACAAAAAGCTGGTTAGCCAGGGCCAACTCCCAGTTTTGCCAGCTCAGTTGCAAGCGCTCAAGCCTGAAATTGTTCGACTCGCTTTGTTTTTTTTTTTTTTTTTTTTTGTGTTTTTCTTCTGGTATATAAGCTGGCTAGGTAGCTAAGAGCGGGGGTAGCATCGGGTAGTGGGGCACTGAGTCTGGGGCGAATGCCTCGTTGCATTTAAATATTAATAAACATGGCGTGCCAAGCAAAATGCGCCAAATGCCGAGCGCGCGCGAGGCCCAAATGCGAGCTGCGAACGTGACTTCCATGAGTCAAGCATGGAAAGAGAGCTCTGACTGTGCCACGCCCCTACAACATACAGTGTTCCATAAAGGTGTTGCCATTTTGTAGTTGTTGTTTTTTTTTTTTTCTCTCTTTGCTGTTTTTTCATTTATTTATTTCCATATTTCTTTTTCGCTTGCTTGCTGAACTTTGGCCAACAACGCAGCAAAGAGTCATGCAACAACCTTTGCCAAACGAGCTCTCAGCTCGCAGCGCACATTGTGGGCGCACCTTTTGGCCATTGGCTGTGGCCCGTTTTTTGGCCATTTACCATTTTCATTCCCTGGCCCATTCATTCATTCACTCAATTCTGATTACTTTGCGGCCCGTGTCATGTCTCAGCTAAAGGGTTTACGTCAATGGCCCAACTAAAGGCTAACATGCAATTCGTTATTCGCAATCCACAATTCACAATTTGCATCCCATTCATATGAGGCTGGCGCCATATGAAAATTACCATAAGCATATGTTCAAGAAACCGCCCAGGGTCTACTTATGTGCGACAAGCGACAACAAGCCAACGGCACTACCAAAATTAGTCATGTCCAGAAAAGAACCAAACGGCCATATAGGAATAAATATGCAATTTCGACTACGTTCGGCTCTGACACATGTTTCTTATATGCTTATATATTTAGATGACATAATTATGCATTTGGCAAATTTAAATTGTATTTGATTTTTGAGAAAGTTTTATAGCTTATTTCAAATTTATTTATAGACCCAGACATAGACCTGTACATGTGAGATGCAATCTTGAGTCTGCTTCAAGGGTCAACAGAGATCATATTTCGTTTCCATATTCGCGACTAGATTCTGACAGAGCAATTTAAAAGACAGAGTACTATATATGTAGGTTACTTTGATTTAGAGCTTGACTGTAATATATCCCACTCTATATCAACACTAACATGTAGTTTTATTTGTTTTTTAGTTAAATAATAGTTAACTATATTATTTATTATAACTTGACTAAAATATGAGAACATTTATTATTATTATTAAAATAATTATAGATTATCAAAAACAAAAATATATATGCTAAATATATATATGCTATAACTAAATATAACTACAAATAAAATAAATTACTTCACAAAATGAATCCGTTTCTATATTTTTATAGTAAAATCTATAAAAAAATTCAAATATTAAAAAAAAAAAAAGAAAACAGTACAGTGACTAATAGCATTGCTCAAGCATCCAAAGTTTTCAAACAATTCATAGAATGTGTCAAAAACATTTTTATTGGAATCGCAGGCAGAATTTGTACATTGTCTTGAGATTATACATATGTATTATATATATAAAGTACAACTGTCAGTTATCGGCCTCTAAGTATAACTGCCTGCTTGTTAAAACAATGGGAGCTAGTTAGTTTTCGTGAAACAACAAAAACATATAGAAATAGTGCTATCCTATAGCATATCAAGACAAKCATCAAAACAAGACACACGAACAAGAACAAGAACAAGAACTTGACAGGCATTCATTTAAAACAGTTTGCTTGTGTGCGCTGTGCGCTGTGAGTGTATGTGTGTGTGTGTGATTGTGTATGTGTGTGTGGCTTATGACATCATGCCGACTTGTTGGCGGTTTCTGATGCCGAAACAGCAACAGAAAGAGGAAAAACGGCCAAAAGCAGCTGCCACGACAATGAACGATGGACAGATAGAGGCAGAGCTGAAGCCAGCTGGAAAACTGGAGTTGTATGGGTTGCCGTCTTTAGGGTTGTCGGTGCTGCTCGTTGCTCAATGCAACTGACATTTGAATGAATGTGTCTTATAATAAATGCCAATTGACATGCTGACAGAATTGGCCAATTGAAAAGGCAACTCTTTCACCTGGCAGCACACAGAGCTCATTCGCCGCCTGCCCATTTATGGCCCAATGGGCTACCGTTTGCTATCTTAGCTCTCTTAGCTCTTAGCTCTTAGCTGTTAGCTGTTGGCTGTTAGCTGTTGCTAGTTGGCCCTGAGGTTGCGCAATCTCTGTGTGCCAGGGAGGCACTGTGAGGCTCTGTGGCGGAAGCGCATTAAACCAAAACAAATTTGGGCTTTACGACTGTGCCATTTGTTTTAGGTTTACAAGCCATTTGACCTCAGACGTCTGCCGCGGCCCGAGCCCATGCGGGCCAAATTCTGGCCAAAATGGCCTTTAAAATTGTCGCTCAATAATCATCTAGTTCACTATGTACGGACGGACAGGCGGCGAACAGCCAAAGCAAATTAGCCAAATGCCATGAATGAAGTGTCATTCCATGTTATTTGCCATGTGGGCGTCAGCTCCATTGGGGAGGTGTGTCCTCCGAGCATGACAAGTAAAAAGAAGATAACGATAAATATACTAAATCAATAATCAACTTTTATCAGCGCGCATGCAAATAAATGATAAAACCTATTTTCAAAGCTTATCTCTGTTTGTCTTCAATTGTTGATATAGCTCTAGCGCCTCGGTGTAATTTGTATTCATTGTTATGAGGTACAAAAATATTGATAATATATATATATGTACATACATATAGATATGATATATTTGAATTAGAAGTGAACTAGAAAATTATTGATAATATATAGATATGATATATTTGAACTAGAAGTGAAAAAATTGCGGAAAATTACTTGTAATTTTCAAGTTGAAAATTGAAATGGAAAATAATGCAAACTTTTACTGCTCTAGCTAAAATTCTAGACTTTATTACAAAAACTCGTAAAATTTTTATTTACATTTGTTATTTCTCTCGCTTGTTTGTTTCTCCCTTTTAAATTCTCACATAATATTCATAATTAGCATTCTCTAGCTAAAGCAAATGTGTTTCGCTGGTTGACAAAATGATAAATTATGCTGTCAGCTAACTATGGAAACTTTATCAGTCCATGAGATATGTGAATTCATTTGAAACTCTACACGTTTGACAATCAATTAAAAATGTTTGTTTACATTTCGAACAAACAAAGCTATTGTTTTAATTCCCAAATTGTTACCAACTTCAATGAGTTCAAGTCATAAAATTAAGTTTATGAAAGTTTAAGTTAAAAGCCAATAGAGTTAACTGTTTAGCCAGTTGTTCTGCCTGCCTTTCCTAAAGAGCTAACTCAAATTAAATTATTCATTATATTCACATTCAATTTCCCATACGGTTTCAAGTGGCTGTCAAACTGTTGCTAAGCCTTCATTAGGTTGCCAAACAGGCGCCGTCTGAAGCGTGATCATCAGCAGCAAAACGATCGTAAATTTGCAGCTAAATAACAATATACACTACACCCCACACACATACACACAATTATACACTCACATACATAGTTCACATTTCTAGTTGTCTAAATGTCGGCATAAACATTTCACTCGACCATTTTTTACGAGCGAAACGAAACACAAAAACAAAAAAACAAAAACAAAAACAAAAAAACATAAAAAAAACAGACAGCACAAATTAAAGCGTGCGACATTGTGTAATGCGTATTACAATGCCAACAAAATGGGGCGTGGCTAGCCAAAAAGAGTTACACTTAAAAAAAGGAGAGAAGAAGACAATATTTAACGAGTGCTCAGCCTAAGAAGGTCTCGAGCTCCGGACGTGACAACAACACATGACAGAGAGTTAGAAAAAATGGACAAGCGCAAAAAAAAAAACACAACAAAAATCCCAAAAACCCAGGTAAGTTTTCAGCAGTTCGTGGAAGGAGCTGGTCGGTAGGTGATTAGGCGACGATGGCGCCAGACAACGGCAGGAAACCAAGCGTAGAGCACGCGTCCTGCACATACACACACACACGGACATACACACGCACACAGGATGTTGTTTGTGTGTTGATTTTGATTGCAGCAAAGCCAATTGCCAGCAATTAAAGCCAATCAATTGAGACTGCGGCTAAATGCCGTTGGCATCTGTAGCTGAGGCTGTGGCTGTATCTGTATCTCTCGCTTTGTATCTGTGYCGTTTCACACAAAGTATCTTTGTGTATGTGCGAAATTGCTGTGCCATTAGCAAGTGATCTTTTACTCATATTCACTTCGTGTTTTTTTTTTTTTTTAGTTGCCATTGACATTTGAACTTGCTGAAATAGTTGCTCTACTATATTTAGCTGGTAAACAACAAGATTTATTGAAAAATGTTTTCTATTTTTGAATTCAACAGAAAGATTTATTGATCAAAGTGATGTGAATTGAATTTGTGACTCAGTTGGCGGCTTCTGTTGCAACATTCAAATGCCCGGCCATGCGTCAGCGCTGGATAACAATGCGCGGCGACGCTATGTTGTCCATTAGCCGGGAGCAGGTAAGCCAGTCGTCGTATACCTAACTTTGATTCCTTTGTCTGTCGGCCTTTTTCATTTAGTTTTGCTTTTCTATTATTTATTTCGCTTTTCTTAATATATTAGATATTTTAAGACGGCTTTACTGGGGTTTAGAGCTCAAATATATTTTAAATAGCTCATCTTTCTTTGTCCATCTCTATCTATTTTTAACTGTCTGGTTATTTCTCTGTTTGTGTCTCACTCTCACATACACCGCATTTTTCTCACAATATATATGTCGATATATCTTTGACTCTGCCGTCTTCTATCTATCTATGACTTTTAAAGTTCAAAAATTTTTATCTGCACTCTCTCGCTCTCTCTCTCTCTCTCTCTCTCTCTCTCTCTCTTTCAATCACAGTTAATATGCAAATCTCTTTATTGACTTTTGTTAAAATTCTTTTTACCTCTTCTAGTAAATCTTTAGCTTAGCTTTAAATCTATTTATCTGTTTCTCTCTCTCTCTCTCTCTCAGTCCCCCCCTCTCCCTCTCTCCCGTTCTAAATGCTGTCGCGACAGTTTTGCAGGCGCTTTGTCATCAAAATACTTGGCAGCGGACTTGCCTGCTGTGGTGGGTGGCAGCTAGCTTGGCCAAAAGCGTCAGCTTGGGACACACCTTGCACACCATCAACAGCAGCAGCAGCAGCAACAAACGCTTTTGTAATTAGCCACGTTTGAAATTGTTGTTAGGCAACAACAACAATAGCAAAGGCAACTACAATAATAGAAAATATTTGTTGTATGCCTTTCGAATTACAAACACACAAAACTGTAAACTGGTTTGCAATTGTTAAAGCCAGCCGCTGTACTCCCCCCTTCAGCCACACCCCCGCCCACGTTCACCTGTTCGACAATCGACTTCAGACTGTCAGTCAAAAATCGTTTTTATTTCGATTATAGTTTTTTTTTTTTTTTTTTTTTTTTCATTTTGCTCATACGTCAATTTGCTGCTGTTGTTGTTGTTATTGTTGTCGTTGCTGGCTTGGCTAATTGACCTTTTGGCTTGGCTCTAAATTGAATCTGGCGGTTAGTTAGTTTTTCCATGCCATTGGCTCGCGTTTCGGAATTGGAATTGAAATTGGAATTTTGTTTTGCACATGATTGTAAAATTGATTTTGATTATATTTTACTATTTTTTTTTTTCATTTTTTCTCTAATTTATTTCTATTTTATTCGCTATTGCTATTTCGCTCAGCTAATTAAAATGAAAGTTGTTTCTGTTGCTGCCGTCAATTTGCAAAGTGAAATTGCCTACTAGCAAAATCAGTCAAAGAGCGAGAGGTTGGCCAACTGCAAATGCCAACAAGTGCGAAATGCGATCGAATTGCTAAGCGAAAATTGCAGCCACTTGGAGAAATGTCAGATTGAAGACTGACAAACGAAAGCGCAAACACTTACGCAAATTGCCTGAACGAACACTGAACACTGAGGCAAACGAGGCAAATTAAACTAATTGAAATGTGAGTGCCTGGCAATAAGTGCAGCAGCAATCATTTCATGCTCGAGGAGAGGTCAAAGTGAAATTCAATGCGAAATTGATGAAACTGCAGCAGCAGCAACTGCAGAACATAATCTAAGGCGAGCATAATTAGATAACTGATTAAGCCAAGTGCAAGAGTCTAATTAAATGTTAATTGTAGTCGAGTTCAATTTGTAATTTAATAAAGAATGCAAAATGGGAAACTCGATACAGAATTCTGCACAAAATGTTTAGATGTAGCCAAGGAGAAAAGTAGACGTTGCCTTTGAAGTAGTTTATGCAGTTGATTACTCAAGTGCACTATATTTATTAGTATTGATGTATATAAATAAATAGGTATATATGTATGTATGTGTATATACAGTGTCCAGCACTTGAAGTACACTTGAGTAATCAACTTCAGCCCATTATGTACTATATATTGCTAATCTATAAAAGCCTATAGAAGTTAGCCAACTTCAGTTCTAAAATTATATATGTGTCCTTACATTTAATTTGATTAAACTTGTATTATTTAGTTAATATGACTGTAAACATTTAACAGGCAGCTTACTCAGCTGTTATAATAAACTACATTCATATACAATTTTTTTTTCAAAATAAATAATATTTTTATAACTGTCAATAAATAAATGTTTGATAAACTGCTTAAAGTATATAATATTATATACAAACTGTATAATAAATATTTATTTTATAAATTAAAAACCAGCTCAAAAGATATATTATTTATGTATGTATATTTTATGAGTTGCTCAAGAAATATTCTTTATGCAAATTAATAGTTTTATTTCATATACTAATATATAAGATAAGGCCAAAAACGTATTTCACAATTTTCGATGGAGACCAATGTAATTATTTGCCTTTAATCATTGTCCATATGTACAAATATCAATCATACAAATGATAATGAAAACACTAAAAGCATTCAACTGAAATTATAAGCAATTACTCCTAATGTCATATTGATCGTATGACATTTAGCAAGCTCTAAAGCAGCGCCCAGTAATTACACAGTTCGACAGTCACTGGGTAGCTACAGTTGTAGCGCCACTGTTTTTCAGCGCTTTGCTTACATAAGCGTTCAGCGCTTTTTTCATGCCTTTTTTCCTCCTTATAGAAAAAGTGAGAGGCGGGGAAGAAAAACTAACTAACTTGTTCATTAAACACGAGAACTGCAAACACTTAAAGCGACTCAAGTCAAATGTTTGTAAATAAAACTCGTTTAAAGGCAGCAAAAAAAAAAAAAAAACAGACAGAAAAAAAATCCGCTTGTTGTTGCTGGCATGTAAATTTTTGTTAATAGCACAAGTTTTTCATCACAGTTGAATAATAAATAATAAAAAACTGATGCGCAAAAATAAAATGAAAAGTTGTTCAAATGAAACAAAGCAAAATTTCATAAAAAAAAAGTAAATAAATTTTGTTGTTAAGGCTGCTGCTCAAAGTGAATTTGCTGCAGTTGCTCAATCAAAGCTGCAGCATGCAAATTGCGCAAGCTGCAGGAACAGGTTGAGGCCGGAGACTTCATGCGGCTCAAATTGTGGCGCATAAATCAAGAAGCCCAAGTATTTATTAATTACAAGTCAAATGCCATAGCCATATGCTTGGATTCCCTGGCTGTTGTTGTTGATGGCTCCGAGTGGCAGCCACGCCCCACTCATCCACACACCCAGCCCATGGCTTTAGGGCAAAAACACTTGCAGCTGCTGTTGATGCTGCGGCTTTTGCTGCCACTGCGGTTGCATGCTGCGACAGCTGCTGGAAAGTTTTCTTTTTTCTGGGTCAGCAAACGCATTGAAAACAAATGCGGAGATACAGGCAACCAGAAAGCAAGCAAGCCAGCCAGCCAGCTAGCAGAGCAAACAAACAAACAAACGAGCTGGCAACATACAACTAAAGCTTGCTGCATTTTCTATGCTCTGGCAACAAAAGACGTCGCACAAGCAGCCGCAAAACGATTCTACACTCGCGATAAACAGCAGCGGCAGCAGCAGCAACGAGTCGAGTCGAGTCTTGAGTCTCGGCACTACGTGGCGTATGCGCAATGTGGCCACAGCTTGGCCCACAAAATGTTGGCGCGATGCGACGCTTGGATCTGAGCAAATTATGATACACATGGCTCAGATTACACACACACACATGCACACGTACGCACAGCAGCACAGTTGGAGCTGCTGGCCAGTTCAAAGACCGTGTTGGCTAATAGCAGCCCGACTGGGCAAAAAGCAACGGCAATGCTTCTCTTCTGACCCAAATCCGCGAGCCGCATTCCACAGCTAAATAAAAAATAAAAAAAAAAGCTAAAGAAAAACTAAACGCTGCTTGAGGCTAGTAGCTAACCATTTTTCCGAAACGTTTCCAATCACAGCAAATTATATTGAGCAAATAATCGAGCAAAAACTGAAGGGGAAAAAAAGAGCTAAGAGCTACGAGCCCCGACAGCCAATTATGTTAATTGATAGTAAAATTCAAGACTTAGGCTCAGCAAGTTGCTAATTAAGCGCGAGAAAAATACAACAACAACAGCAACAAAACAGCAAACATTGTGCGCAAATTAGTTTGTCAACAGGGGAGAAAAAAAAAAAAAAAAAAAAAAAAACAAGGCAAGGTTTTCAGTTTGGGCAATTGGCGGTATTTCAGCTATTGATTCAGCTGCTTACAAAAGGCAATTTAGGCCGCAACAGCAACAGCTACAGATAAAACACACATAGACATACAGCTATATAGATACAGAAGCAAATAATAAATAAATWAAATAAAGGTGCCCAACGCAGACACAATTTGCCAATGCTTAAGCTGCTGATAATTGAAATATGCAAATAAGAACAGATATGATTAGAGCGAGATAAAACGGGAGCATGAATGCAGCAAGACAGATTGCGATGTGTGTGAGGCAAAGGAAGTTGACAAAGCTTAACAGATAAGATAAATTTGTTTCAACGGACTTGAATGACAGTTATGAGGCATTCAATAAGATAGCAAATTGCCAAGAAATATTCCTTGTAAATATACATATTTCCAATTTTATTTTATTCATTGATAAGATTTCATGCAGACTTATCTCAAAAGCAGCAAAATATATAAAGATTTGCAAATAAAACAGCCCAAAAAGGATCTAGAATTTGATGAATTGAACAGATAGTAAATCTTATAGCCTGAGATAAGATTGTGAGCTACAAAAAACCCTCTAAGTAAATTAAATAGAACTTAGATAAGACAATGCCAAGAGCTAAAAATATAGCTGAGAAAAAGGTCAAGGTTTCTTTAATTAATCGTTAACCAGAGAAGTTAACAGAAATGCTAATTAAAATAAATATAAAAATATTTACGGACTACAAAATAATTTTAAAATTATTTAATAACTGAGAATTCGACATGAAATTATTTTTGAATGCAAATAAAATGAAATTAAAAATTGAATCGAGAAAATGTCACTGAACTGCTGCCAGTTGAAATACATATATACATATATATGCTCATTATATATACACATGCACATTCATAAATGTGCATTTATATATATTTTCTATACATTATATTCAAAGCATTTCAATTGACATATTTATGCACTACAGAGAAAACATTTCTATAGAAAAATCTATCCATCATTGGCCACTTGACATGAATAGTTCAAATCTGCGTATCGTGTGTCATTATAATTTATATAATATATATACATACTTCTATATATATGTAAAACTATTTTGGCGACAACAGAGTTTTCGTGTGCGTTTTTTATTTATTTACTTGCTTGGTTCTATTTCGAATGTGATTATTTTTTTACATTTTCTCAATTTGGGTCAATAACATTTGGCAACTCGAATGCGTTGCCAGCAAAAAAACAACAAAATTAACGAAAAGGCAGCCAAGGCGCCAAGTTCTGTGTAAAGGCCAACAACAACAACAATAACAACCGCAAAGTAATTGAACTAAAAAGTAAAATAAAATATAGCTGTGCACACTTTGTGCATTGATTAAAAAATAATTTACACAAAATTTTACTTTTGGGCTAAAAATGAATCATTTGCGGTTTTTACAGCCAAACGCAAACCAAAATAAATTTAATTTCAAATGCATTTAATTATGCATGCGGGCAAAGCGATCAACGACCCAAATAAAGCAGATGATATATATACGAATATATATATATAATAGTTATTAATATAAATATTTGCAGCGAAAGTGTTTATTGAATGTATGATATATACGAGGCAGAAGCTGAGGCTTGAGCTGGCGCTGGCGCTGGGGCTGTGACTGGGGCTTTTTAAATATTTATTTAAAGTGAAAATCTTCCACAACAAATATAATCAAGAGAATCTTAAGGCGGCGGATTTTGTTATTGTCAGATGCTGAAAAGTGAAACAACTTTTACTTTTTTGTTGCTGTCGAATGCCGATGACAAAAGCTGCCGCCAAGCTATACAGTTAAAAGATACAGATACATTTTGGAGCAGCAGCAGCTGTTGAGTCAGATACAGAAGTACAAACAAATAGAGACACACACACACACATTCATATTGATATGCATATATACAGAACCAGTTACTGTTATACATACAGATACAAATGAGCACACTGACGACGGTATAAGATACAAATATGTCTACTGACACAGATACCTTTAGGGCTACAGATATTTCGACAGCTTTGCTATTATAGATAAGGATATTTTTCACTTAGATGAACAGACACATGATACATGAATAGACACAGATGCAGATACATTTTTATTGTTGTGTCAGTTAAATGCATTCGGAGATACGGAAACAGAACAGATACGACGGCAAATACAAACTTGTAGGTAAAGATATCTTTTGAAACACCTCAACTTAGAAGTATCTAAGTAAAGTATTACTGCTTTAGATGCAGATATATATACAGACAGAAGTACAATTATCCATATATAATCATCTACATATGTATGGAATATACATTATATGCATATATAATTAAAGTAGAAATACAGCCACAGCTACACATACAATTATAACTACAGATATATTAGTTATTGAAACATATATAGATACAAGTTCCTACTACGATACATATGCATATAGTCATCTAGATATATTTACAGATATTGATACATATACAGATAGAGAAATATATGCATATATAAATGTATTCTACACATTAAGATACAATTACACTGATATTTAGATACAGCTAGAGCCACTGAAAATACAAAACAAAACGAGCTCGTTCGCGGTCCT